GTGCTGTAACCACGGCGATACTTGCAGAGGGCGTCGGCCAGGCTGGCTGAGCTGATAAACAGAGAAGGGAGGGGGAGGCAGAAGAGAGAAAGATGAGAAAGAGGAGGCCGACAGGAAGTAGCCGACCCGGCCGAACAAGCGTCTGCTTTAGGCACACCGGCCGCATTCAACCACATGGATGTGTCAAGGGAGGAAGGCGTTCATTCACTCACATTCAGACATCCATTAACATAAAAAAATAGGAAATGAAAAAAATGGAGAAACGCGTTTTTCACAGGAGAGTGGCGATTTGCTTTTTTTTGCTTTTGTGGGAACGTCTTTGCTTGCCTCTAACATAAGGTGAAGCCGAAACCCACAAAAATGATTCAACGGGAAGCTCCAAGTTATGAGTGGCAGGTGTGTGACATTTTGGATTTTGGACCTAAAAGTTGTTGGAAGAGGTTTTCTGTACGATAAGCAAGATGGGACAATTGTCTGTGCTATGAGAGTTTTCAGCCGTTGCAAAAGGTTGCGGTCGCAAACAGTTTTCTTGTCGCAAAGAAAATTTGTACATGTTCAAAAGTTGATGCCAGTGTACTTTAGTTTAAAAATAAATAAATTTTAAAAAGCACAGAGCCCCAATGGTTTTTAGCTCAACTCAGGCAGCTTGGCTCACAGGTTCTGAACCCAAATATCACTTGGAAGGTGCCACCGTTCCGCTCATGTACGGTCAAATGTTGGAGAGATGTGTGCTTACAAGATGAGCATCTCCAGGAACTGCGTTCCCAGTCTGCGGCCGTTCCAGACGGACACAACCGCTCTCTGTCGAATTTGTCCTATCAGTTCAGGTTTGACCATCTATCATTTTATGAAGGTAAAGGACAAACGTGGGAACACAGAGTGAACCGAAGAAGTAACTTGAGCTATCTGGGAATAGTAATGCGCTAAATGACTCAGTGCCAAAAGATATGATGCTGGAGTAGCTCCCGTCGAGGACGGGCCTACAAGCGGGTAGACAAGTGGCTAGCACGCTTGCCTCACAGTCTGCAGGTTCTGCCACAAAATCTGGCCTCCAGCCCTGCTTGTGTGTAGTTAGCATGTTGTTGTCCTCCCACATTCGCAAAACACGCTAGCATCGTTAATGGAAGACCAATAAATTGTCCATCAGTGTGTGGTTGTCTTAAAGGCTGGTGTCGAGTGCATTTGTTTCTTTACCTCTCTCGTCATGCAATAAACACAACCTCACTGTACATCCACAATACATCATGGGTGGGGGGGAGATAGGTCTCTTGATCAAGGATTGGATGAACCCAAACAGGACAAATCGCTACATGAGGCATAACGGGATAAATCATGCGTGCGCACGCGCGCGCATCAAGAGCATCGCGGGCGTCACGTGACCTTGAGCACAAATGCAAAGAAAAAGATGCAAAACGTCCCATTCAGGCGCGCGTGCATAAAAGCGGTCTCACCTGAGCCGATCCGGACGGACACACACGTCGAGGCTCGTGCACGCGCGACAAACGACGCTCAGCTGTCACGTGACCGCATCCAGCGGCGCGAGAGGGAGGGTGGCGGGGGTTGTGACGTTACGTCTGCTCGAGTCAGTAAAGGGGAATTGCCCGCAAAACGTCATATTTGGACTCATTTCAATTCCATATTCTGATTTCATAATTCGTCTTTTTCACCGTTTTAAGTGTTACGACGTCACCCTGGCATTGTTTCTGAATTAATAGTTGAAAAAAAAACTGTACCAGCGTTCTCGTCCGAACATTCGTCGTTAATTTCATTCAAGTACTAGCAAAACATTTTGAATGAAGTCCAGTCGGGATGTTCTGAGAAAGAAATGAACCAGATGAATTAAGAGATGAATATTCAAAAGCACGGTAAGAAATGTACAGGTCTTGTTTGTTTTTTGAGAAACAAATCCAGATAAATGCTACGTGTTGTCTGTTATGTCAATAAATAAGAACCCAGGAGTCCCTGTCCAAATATGTGACGTTGTATTGACGTAAAACACTTCTGAAAAGGTACAAAATGTGGATATGAAATCAATTATGATCAACGAGACAATTTGGGGCGGGTCAAATCTGTGACGTCACTCAATTGTAAAAGTTGGATTAAAATGAAGACGTTTGCTCGCACATAAAAGCGGCTACAGTCACTTACATGTACACATTTTGCCATATTGTCCTTTCAAATGTCAAGTTGAATCAAAAATAAGGGTGTACAATGTCAAGGAAAACAACACGTAGAATGTCGTTCTCGTTCGCCCCCCCCCCCTTTAAATCCGGCTGCTCCTCGCGCATCTCTTCGCTCAATAGACGAGCTTTCCCCTAGCAAGATGGCGTCGAGCGATGGCCTCTCGTCTCTGGTAAGACGACAAATTGTCCACAAAACGGCCAGAACGTGTCCACAAAAAGTCGAGGCGCGTCACGACGGCGGTCGGTCAATCATGGCGCGGTCTCGGCAGCAAACGTGGCTAATGCTAACCGGCTGAGAGGTCGACACGTGGTGTGCTGAAGGCATACTGTACCTCCACATCGCCCACCGGGAAACCCGAGGATCCTTCCTTACCTTGCTTTTTCAAATGGCGATTGGGAAAAACAGCTTGAAGATTTTCGGGTATCACTTTTCTCACTTCTAACTCTGTTTGGAAAAATGGTGAGACAGTAGGAAAAAGTGCGTAAAAGACACAATTTCCAAAGTTTGGAATCATTCCACACCTTAAAAAGAAAGCTCAACAATCCAATGAATCTACTTAAAACTATTTACATAACAGTGCGTCTGCAGTTTGGTAAAGTTGTTCGGTAACTTAGTATGGCTTTGAACTGCTACCTAAAACTAAGTGTATTGCCCCCCACAAGTAGTCAAAAACAGGCCTCACATTATTGTGAAATGGTGGGGGGCCAAGTAAACAAATGGATCTCGAGCATACCGGCTAATGGGGTAAGGAGTGAGCAGCAGGTCAACACTGACGCCCACATCACCCACCAGTCCAAAAGCCATACGTACCCAAAGTCACAGATAATACATTGTCAAACATGAGAACGGTGACCCCATGTGACCAAAACAAATCCACCTGCAGATCACATGCATGCCTTTGCGTTTGGAAGCACATCATCAACTTTTGTCCAATGAATCAATGGCATATTTGGTAATCATTTCCTACCTCTGATTGATGATGTCAGGCTGAAGTCATTTTCCATCCTCAGGGTCCGGACGGAGCTTCAGCCGCCGCACACGCTCTGTCACTCCCCGCCGAGGCGTATGGGAACGATGTGAGTATGGTGGTGAGGTTCATCATCACGTTTGCCGGCCATGAAGGCGAAGCTGACGTCCACTTTGCATTTCAGGAGCGTCTGGAAGTCATGTGGGCCATGAAGGCCTACAACCACGCCGAGGTTTATTTCAATGTGAGCATCGACGCCAGGACGGCAGGAAAGCGCCGATGACATTGAAGACCTTGAAGAGTTTTTGTTGTCATTGTCATTCAGCTCATCTCTTCAGTGGATCCCAAGTTCCTGAAGTTGACCAAGATGGATGATGACATCTACTCCACCTTCAGGGAAACCTTTGAGGACCTGGATATCAAAGTGCTCCACCCGGACCAACTCAAGTCGGCGGAGGCCAAAGAGGTCGGCCATGTTTATTCACTCGGACGGCTGACCACCATTTTAAGATACCTGGATTTGTGGGGGGACAAGAAGCAAACAGAATAATGTCATTTTGCTTTTCTTAAATTGATAGTGGGAAAGTGTATTCAAATCAGAATCGCAGTGGCCTACTTGTGAATCGGTGGTTTGGTTTGTGTCCAGAGATGGCGGCCCTTCTGTAACCGCTACGAAGGCCTGGTGGAAGACTTCAACTACGGGACTCTGCTGCGACTGGACTGCCAGAAGGACTACACTGAAGAGAACACCATCTTCGGTGGGTGCGCCAATTTAGTTGCATCGTCATTTTGTCCAAATCCACTTCTGACTGATGCCTTTGTAATCACTCCGAAGGGATTGTGAGTCACTCCTATCTTTCATAAGCTTTCCTGTTGTTATTCCAGCCACCAGGATCCAGTTCTTCGCTGTGGAGATCGCCCGAAACCGAGAAGGGCTCAATGACACAGTCTTCACGTCAAAGTCCTCTAAAAGTTAACCTACAACTGTTAGCCCCCCCGCCCCCAAAAAATGTTTTGTTATGCTGACAAGCGATAATTAAAGTGTGTCTTTGAGTTTGTGTCTTGTTACTGAAGAAAAAAAAAAAAAGCAAAAGGTTTGGGATTCGGATGAACATTGCCCTGGTGGAACAAGAATTGAGCAGATTAATCAGACCGTTTTTATCCATCTGAGGTTTAAGCCGGTTTGTCCTGTATCTGCGGTCAAAGTGTCCTCAGGCTCGCATTGCCAGCCGACATCATGTGGCCGAACCCAGAAATCAGGACTGGATTGTTAAACTGGTTAAATCTGAAGATGCTCAAGCGTATCTTGTAAAAAGGATGAGGTTTATTTGCAGTCACGACACAGCAGCTACTCCACATTCACATCAGTGACAAACTGGGAAATCGATGCACACCTGAGCGCCTTCCTGCCTCCAGGGGGCGCCAGTGTTCCACACAGCACCGTGACACACACACACACACACACACACACACACACACACACACACACACGCACACACACGCACACACACGCACACACACGCACACACGGGACCACAACCTGGCCACAGGAATCCAGAAAGTAAACAAAAAGTTGGAAGAAGCACTCAAGTAGCGACGCGTCCGCCCGCCCATCCATCTTTGGGGAAAGGACCCGGCCCGGAAAGGGTACCCAGCTGACCTGACCTGATCCGCCCGACCTCTGCGCAATTTTGTTTGTTTTTCTGTGTGTGTTTCCAAATTGTTTGAAGGAGTGCAAAATGGGACGCGCAAAACGTGCCTTTGAAGATTATTTACACGATGTACTGTAACACTTTTTGATTTCTGTTTACCTTTCCTAGCTTCCATGCGCGTGAAGCGACGACAGCGTAGAAAGCTCAATCATCCCATCAATATCATATAAACATCACTGAAAATGTTAGCAAACAAAATGTACACTCGACTTTGTCGTCTTCTATACAAGGCAGGCGAGCGTGTTGGACTATTTGGCCCCCCCCCACCCCTCCCCTTAACCC